TTCTTCATCTCTCGAATTAATATCTTGAAATGAAATTATACATTATGACAGGCCTCCTTCAGAAACGTATAGTTTTGGGTTTGTTACAATCTTCTGATGGTTAGCACGGGTGTGACGGACGTAGAAGTTTAATGTGACACTGTCTATTTGACATTAATTTGAAACATGAGTGAATTATTGTACTATATGGGTTTACGTCGTAAAGGAAAGCTTTTCACTTGTCAAAATGCTCTCACTGCCTTCAGCATGTGTCACGCTTAGAAACAGCGTTAGAAAGACATATAGGTACATAGACCCTACCCTAGTACTATTATAGTACTAGGGTAGGGTCTATGTACCTATATGTCTTATATGTACCTATATGTCATATAGGTACATAGACCCTACCCTAAAGTACTATTATAGTACTAGGGTAGATCTATGTACCTATATGTCTTTAGCGTGATACGCCCCCGTGGCCTGAACGACATTTTCAACGGCGTGTGTGTTCATAATCTCACGGAGGTGTTGTGTTGAGTTTGTACGACATCGTTTTCGACATCTCTTTGTGTACATATAAAGATGCGGAATTCGAGAAAAGCACCAGATAGTTTACGAAAAAACGACGGTGGTGTTGTACTTATAGGACGACGTGAGCCAACCAAAAGGAACACGACGCTCAACAGGCAGAGTTACTTCCCCTCTTCGAGTATCCTTTCAATATAATACAGTGGCAGTTTTTAAGCTTAGTTTACGAAAAGAACTTCAACTATGCAGAGAAACAAACACACAAATTGACTGTCTAACATGATGGACAGGCAGATAGGACTAGACTAAACTTTTTGTCCTCAAAAGGCTGAAGAATACCTACAAAAGTAAAATAGGCAGATAAAAAAACGACCTGAAATTTTTGAAAGGCAAATAACAAACATATTACAAACAATTCCTTTCCACTTACATTAATGTATATTTAGCAAATATGTGGACATTTTGATACAGCCAATACACATCATCACTTGATGGTAGGTCTGTTTCCTGTACATAGGTTTAATCCCAAACAAAACGCACACTGAGTATAGCGATACAGAATCACGCAGTAGTAATTCCAATTTAGTCTGTCCTACAATTCCTAAAACAAATATATCCAAGAAAGTCCATGCAAGTCTATATTATGTGGCAAGTCTAGATTTCCACAGCTTCTGAAAGTGAAGAAAGTCTCAGGGCTCCTTTTCATTATATTTTATACTTTTTTTTATTATTAACTGGATTTTTTAGTAAAATATGTTCATTTCAGAGACTAGTTGTTAGTCTAAATTCAGATTCTACGACTATATTTACCCGAGAGTGTTATTTCACTGAATCAATCTACTGCTGGCTGTGCGGCGTCTGACGTCGCCGACAGAGGCAAGGCTGGCAAGCTTATATAACCGGACCACGAAGCCCGTGCCCATGTGAATTCTTGGTGACTCATCGCCATCACTACTGGCAGCTTCACACAATCAACATTCGGTTTGCCTGCTCCAGAAATGTATACTTTCCCGCCTACAGCACCAAACCCCATCACTCGCACTTTCTTCCTGACCGAACAGAATTCCAGGGTACATCTGCCTCAACTCATGCTTGGTGGAGTCAAGTCACCTCGTAAGGAGCACACGTTAAATACTACATATACATGCAAGTGTGAGCGATACCGTTATATAAGCTTGCCAGACTTGCCTCTGTCGGCGACGTCAGACGCCGCACAGCCAGCAGTAGATTGATTCACATACATACATACATACATACATACATACATACATACATACATACATACATACATACATACATACATACATACATACATACATACATACATACATACATACATACATACATACATACATACATACATACATACATACATACATATATATATATATCATGATCTCATGATTATCACACTGACATTGTGGAAACGGTTAGAATTGAAGAAATTATACCTGTACCAAGGATCTTTAAACTTAAATCAGACTTGTGTGTGTGCGTGCGTGCGTGCGTGCGTGGAGAGAGAGAGTGTATGTTGCGGTCGTTGATTGCTCAGTTGATCGTGGGTTTGATAGCCATATGATATTGGCTCAAGTGCCACAAATGGCATATAGTCTTTCCTCGAATATATAGCCATGATAAGATGAAATGTACACTTACTCAGCTGTCGGCATCATCGCCACTGCGCTGAAATTCTCCAGGAACGTTTAATTCTAGATATTAGATACGGTCAACGATGAACGTTTCGATAACATGAGTGAGCCGGATATACACCCGGACATGATACTAAGAGCGACTCCACTTCATCAGTTTCATTCAGACATGCCATTTATTTAAGTTTCACCTCATGACAATGAACATGAGATAATATACATGTACAACTAAAACCAGCCGCTCTTTCACCAGGTTATGAGAGACGAATAAATACAACGTAATTGAAGTGATGCAGTTAATATACAATATCTTTTTAAGTATATAAACATCGCCATTCTTAAGATCAATAAAGATCACTGGATGATATGCAAAATATGTTTCTACAACTCCGGAACTGAAATTGGCGTCCCTATAATTACGGAGAACTGGTGTGAAAACATTGGATTCAACCTAATGTGTCTCACAGCCCCTAAACCACATTATTTTCCCTACTGCCTAGCCCTCCCTGCAATGCTTAAGCTAATACTCTAAATGAAGCAAGTCTAGATTTCCTCAGGCTCAGGTTCTGAATCTCCCATCTCACTAGGGCTCCTTTTCAGTTTAAATGGGTTTATTTGTTACCATCAAAATTAATATATACAATACAACCAGAAATTACTGAGAATTTAAGATTGTAATTTTTTTTTTTTCACTCATTACTCACGTATTAAATGTGAATATTAGCAGAACATAACTCCAGATTCAAAGACAGGTGAACAGTTAGTATTTTGTCAAATCACCATGGGCAGCAATGTAGGCTTCAATGCGGCAGGGCATACTACTGATCAAAGAAGTTAGAAAGTCGTGGTCCATGCTGTCCCAATATCGGACCACCTCTTCTTTCATTTCAGCAATATTTGTCAGATTTTTCTTATTGACACTTTCCTTCATAAGTCACTAAACATTTTCTATTGGATTTAGGTCAGGGCTATAGCTTGGCCAATCTAATAATGTCATATTTTGGGTCCGAAACCAGGCCTGTGAATGCTTTGAACGATGTTTTGGGTCGTTGTGCTGCTGGAAAATCAAAAAATTTCCATAGAACACGTGAGCAGATGGAAGTAAATGTCCCTCGAGAATATCTGTGTACCGCTCACTGTTCATATTCCCTTCAAATACACAGAGGGGCGTTGCCCCTAACACAGATATGCCACCTCACATGTTAAATTTCGGACTGTACTTTGGGCGCTGATACAAAGGTTTTACAGTTTGTTTGGTCCAGAATTTCAGTGTATTAGGAAACAGCCACACAGAACTTTCATCTGAGAAAATCACATTGTCCCAGTTAAAATTTCTATGCTGTATGCACCAGTTCAACCTTCGCTCCTTTTGTTCAGGTTTCATGATCGGTGATGGAATTCCTCGACTTTTCTGCCAACCAATTGCATGCAGCTCAGTTCTAATTGTCTCCTTACAGACAACCACAGATCCTCTATCAATCATATCCAGCCTTAAGTTTTCTAAACTCCTTCGTTTGTTTTTAGAAACAAGAATACCAAGCCGCCTCCTGTCACCGACAGTCAATCTTCTGGGCCTACCTGCGCCTCCCTGGTGCTCAATGCCATATCCATTTGCAATATTTTTCAAAACACGATAAACAGTGGACAAGGGGATGCCTGTATTACTTGAAATCACTTTAGCTGATCTGATGTCCTTGTTATAATACTCTAAAATCAACTTCCTCTTCTCTAAATCATCCATATTGAGGATCACTGAAAATGTCGTCTGCTAGCAAGTAAACAAAGGGGGATAACTCTTCACAAACTAATGAAAAAGGATTAACGGAGTTGTCTCTCTTGAATGAACCCAAGCACTTGATAGCTGGTCAAGGTTGTTTATACTAGAAATCCAATTAAACATATTCCTAAAATTCTCAATAATTTCTGGTCATACTATATATTCAGCGACTAAGCGTCAGTCCAGGCTCAACCTCGTATCTATGCTTGGAGCGAGTGTAGAGTATAAGTTTGTTTTCTCCGGTCACTATTTTTATAATTCTTTATTCCACTTTATAATAAATTCCAAAAGAACTCTGACCTCTACTTTCCTTATGACATATTTTTACAATGTTTCTTTTGAAGCGGGATAACATGTTGAAGCTTTAAATAACTTGAACCTCCATGGAACGTGTGATCTAATTATAACACTGATTCCATTTGATGTCATGGATACCAATAACAGTTGCTGAAAGGTTGGTAAACAAGCACTCTTTCCTTCTCGTAAGTAAAGAGAACAATTGAAAGTGTGGTCAAATAACGGTATCCATAGAACGGTTACAACTCATGGCCAAAGATAATCACTATGGTTTCCGTATTTCAACATGGGGAAGAGTATATCGTTTTGTTAACTTTAAAATAATATTTTCAACTGAATAAAATTTCAAAAATGGCATTCTGTTTGGAAATACATTGCAAGAGGTACTTAGGTGGGTTTTTTTAAGTATATATAAACTGTCGGGGTTAATATCAAGTTTATAACAAAATGGCTATTTGGAAAATGATGATACCGTCAGTTGACTGACTTTCATAGTCATTAGACATATGTATGTGTAGTTGGGTTTTTTTTTTTTTTTTAGCTATATATTGTTTTAAAAACACAGTCAGTCTAAATGACATAAGACTGTGTACGCGTGACACTAGAGCATCTGTAGTAGGCTTACGGGCATGCCTATTCCGCCGGACACCCTACACTTAGGAGTGGATAGTGCAAACATAGGATGGTTGCTCTAACCCCAGCAACATTTTCAATGTGGCGAAGTAAAACAAGCTGTTATGAGTTATCTCCCTTACTTTAGCAGGCAACCACTTCCGTATGAAACTACCTCGCGCTGTGACAGGTACCACATCCACATTGCTGATACCTACAAGTCGTTACGGCTGTTGACATGGGGCGATTTACATCCAGAATCATGGAACCCGCGGCTCTTGTCAACTTTAGTGGCTTTTTGGTAAAGTAGTCCATGTTGAACGGGTCAGATTAGTGTTGACCAACTCTATTTTCCTACAAACCACTATCAAATTATATATCAAGCGATTGGTCCACAACCACGAGACCGTGACGACTGATGAGACAGCGTGAAATAATATTCTAGATATTGTACACCAGTCATACACGGCTGCGTTTGATTATCATTCCACCAGTATTAGGCCTTGCGACACTGAACAAGGAAACGCACATACTTTCATATGTTTGCACGAAGTAATGTGTTCAGTTTTTTACACCAGAGATCAATCCATACTCCCGCGAAGATTCGGGTTGGATGTCGTTTTCAGCCATTCATGCTTGTTGTAAGCGGCTAACCACGTAACAGGGTGGTTAGGCTCGCTGACAGGGTTGATGCGTGTCATCATATACCATATGTGTAAACCGATGCTCATGGTGTCAATCACTGGATTGTATGGTCCAGTAAAGCTCTCGTAAGCCTAAGATCTCGTAACTTTCCTAGTAGCATTCCTACCTCCTATACTGTAACACTACTGACTTACGATAGTGCTAGTGCTACAAGAGCTTTGTGAAACGGGGCCCAGGCTAGTATTTTCTTGTGAAAGTATGTGATTAGACTAAGGCTTAGTCTCTGAATATATATAATTTTGATAGTAACAAACAAGCCCATTTATATTGAAAAGGAGCCCTAGGGAGACCAGAGCCTGAACCTGAGGAAATCTAGACTTGCTTTATTTAGGGCTTTAGCACTGCAGAGAGGGCTTGGCAGTAGGGAAATTAATGTGGTTCAGGGACTGTGAGACAGACTAGTATGTGATATATGGGTGGAATACTGCTGGGTGTGGTATTGAACAACAAACTGCCACATTATCACATTTTCTTCTCTATGGTAATGTGATAACTTTGTTTTTTGTTTATTTATTTGTTTGCTTGTTGTTCAATGCTGCACTCTGCAGTATTCCATTGACTTTAGTGTTAGTGGATGCCAGTACTTTCCTTTACAAACGTACAGTTCAATCAATTAAAGATGTTATACTGTAGGTTTGATAAATAGTTTGGACAATCAAAGTGTAGCAAAGTAATTTCCAAATTGAAACGCAAAGGTTAATTCAGAACTCAGTTTATTCAGAACTGAATTGTGAAATAGGTAATTGACCACGCAAGATCAAGGGACAATCCATATATTATATTCAACTACAGGTAGCAACCAACAGCAATCCATGCTTCTTGTAACCAGCTACCCATGTCACAGGGTGGTCAGGCTTGTGTTGACCGATTCTCGTGGTGATCGATGCTCGTGGTATCAATCATTGGATTGTATGGTCCAGACTATTACTTATTATTAACATAAGAACGTGAATTAATGTGAGAGCACATGAATGTCAAAAATGAGTTAATAATCTTGAATGAGGCATGCCTCTGTTCTTGAATCCAGAAAGGAGAAGATGTGGCAGGAATTCAGGTTTTGTTTCTTCGATAGGAGTGAGTGAGTGAGTGAGTTGGGTTTAGAACTGATGTGAACAGTATTCTAGTTTTATCAAGGAGCTTGAAGTGGGAGAAAATCTTCAGGTGATGCAGATAGAATTTAGATGCTTTACCACAAGCATTGGTGGTGCTTACAAACCTAGAAAACAAACTCGGGGCAGACCAGGATTCAAACACAAGGTCATAGGTTTCTGGCATGCAGAACAGATCCAACTCTGCACAGCTAATTGCAGTGCTTTAGACAACCGGGCCATCCATTAGTCACTCTAAATAACCTCAAACAGTGACATACTCAACCGGCTTCTCCACTCCTATGTAACCACATCCCAACTGAACCAACTGTGAAAACAAGGATACATGCTTCTCAAACATACTCTGTACGTCACAGTCTTGATAGGACTGTTAGAATGTCATTGAAATGACTCTCCTAATTGCAATAAAGAAGTTCATCCACATATCTTATCCAGATTTACAACAATTTCATACATAACAAAAGATACCGCCACATGACAACATCTGAACATTTCTTTCATCAATGTTATCTAGCATCAAGTAAATGTTCTGAAGACCAGCTCCTCCAGCAGGTGTATTGAGTGCCTTCATGTGTTATAAACCAAGCCTGTCATGTACATCCTACATGCTTTGTTCAGATTGTCCTGGGACGGTGGGGTAGCCTAGTGGCTAAAGCGCTGTGGCTTATGCCGAAAACCAATCCCCACATGGGTACAATGTGTGAAGCCCATTTCTGGTGTCCCCCGCCGTGATGTTGCTGGAATATTGCTAAAAGCGGCGTAAAACCAAACTCAGTCAGTCAGTCACATTGTCCTCACCTGTGCTTCAGTGAAAAACTCAATGCTAATTCTGTGAAAATGACACAGATATTTGCCTCATTATTTAGGCCTGCCCATTTATATTTTTTTTAATGTATTATTTTTCTCAACTGTTCAGTGGCCCAGATAAAGAGATGCAAATGATTTAAAACGGTTTTCAAAATGTCAAGTTATGTGTATACTGTACAGCAAGTTTGTCAAATTTGGTCAGAATGTAAATATAAACCATTTACATCTGAACAAAACTATTCACTTCCGTTAATGCTTTACAATGCCAGTTAAACTTTGCAGCTGCCTTCTGTAGGTGGGAAAGTGATGTGTAAATTTTATAATATAAACATATAACATTTATAGATATAATTGTCAGCCTATTAAAAACTTGTATTTATTAATGACTTCATTGTTTGTAAAGGATTTTTGCATCTGTAACCAAGCAATCAAAATATAGACTGACATGGTGGATATGTTACTACTGACATGGTGGACATGTTACTACTGACCTGGTGGACATGTTACTACTGACCTGGTGGATATGTTACTACTGACCTGGTGGACATGTTTCTACCAACCTGGTGGACATGTTACTACCAACCTGGTGGACATGTTACTACTGACCTGGTGGACATGTTACTACTGACCTGGTGGACATGTTACTACTGACCTGGTGGACATGTTACTACTGACCTGGTGGACATGTTACTACTGACATGGTGGACATGTTACTACTGACCTGGTGGACATGACTGACCTGGTGGACATGTTACTACTGACCTGGTGGACATGTTACTACTGACCTGGTGGACATGTTACTACTGACCTGGTGGACATGTTACTACTGACCTGGTGGACATGTTACTACTGACCTGGTGGACATGTTACTACTGACCTGGTGGACATGTTACTACTGACCTGGTGGACATGTTACTACCGACCTGGTGGACATGTTACTACTGACCTGGTGGACATGTTACTACTGACCTGGTGGACATGTTACTACCGACCTGGTGGACATGTTACTACCGACCTGGTGGACATGTTACTACTGACCTGGTGGACATGTTACTACTGACCTGGTGGACATGTTACTACTGACCTGGTGGACATGTTACTACCGACCTGGTGGACATGTTACTACTGACCTGGTGGACATGTTACTACCGACCTGGTGGACCTGGTGGATGGTGGACATACTACCTGACCTGGTGGACATGTTACTACTGACCTGGTGGACATGTTACTACTGACCTGGTGGACATGTTACTACTGACCTGGTGGACATGTTACTACTGACCTGGTGGATATGTTACTACTCACAAGGAAGACAGTGACCGGGTTGATATGGTACGCCTCTGTTCCAGGATCTGTTTGCTGTGAGCATGATCATGCCACTTATCCTGCCTCATGCCCGCAGTCTCGGCGCCTCTACCACTGTAGCTGGGATATTTGGTAAGCTGTGACTCTCTTCATTTTGTATTTAATATGAATAAGGTGAAGTTATACCATCATGAAGTCATGTTCCCTGTAAAGTTGTTAAATATAAGTAAAACGACAACTGACACCACAAATCTAATTAGGGTTTTATTGGCTAAAAAGTGTAATCTTATTTAAAAAGTTTTTAGATTGTTTTTAGCCCCATATACACTTCATAAATTGCCAAATGTAAAATACTTAAGAAAAGTACTTGTGATTCTATTTTTTAATTTTTTCTTTCTCCTGCCTTTAGGTTTTCTAAGGACAAAAATTCGTAAAGCAAGAAATAAAATTGATCTGGCCTTACAAATTAAAAATGTTGGAAGAGAAACAGAAACTCACTCACGTGTCTTTATGTGTCACCATCAATGACAGTAACTCCTTTCTAGTCTCATCCTGTGGAACTTTTTCATCATGATGAATTTGCTGTGGACACTCAGCTAAGATTCTCCATCTCACAGATCATGAGCACCATGTTGTAAATGATTGATAGTTTTCTGTTATCATTATGAATATCATTTTGAAATAATAGTCTCCATATCTCTATCACATCAGCCAATTGGCAAGGAACAATCAATCTATTCCATGCTGGTCTTAGAGATTGGCTTCATCAGAATGAGACCCATGAAGATCCAGGTTAAAATTGATCTTCAGTAACCCATGATTGTCGTAAGAGGCGACTAACGGGATCGGATGGTCAGGCTCGCTGACTTGGTTGACACGTCATTGTATCCCAATTGCGTAGATCGATGCTCATGATGTTTGTCACTTGATTGCCTGGCCCAGACTCGATTATTTACAGTCTGCCGCCATATAGCTGGAATAGGGCTGAGTGCAGCGTAAAACTAAACTCACTCACTCACTCATCAGAATGAGTGAGTGAGTGAGTGAAAATGGTTTTACTTCACTTTTAGCCATATTATTACAACACCCTGGCAGTTGACACACACTATCCACTTAGTGGTTTGTCTAATCCAGGCTTGAACACAGTTCAGCTTGCTGAGATTACAATATTGCAGACTACAGCATGAAACACAACCCCCTCACTCACCCATCTGCAGGACAGGACATAATCCTATTGTGTTTACATTGTAGGGTCTACGTATGGAGCCCTTCAGCTCTTCTCCAGCCCGGTGATGGTAAGCAACTGTACATACTTCTGTCATATTTGTGATGTCTTATATGTTTTACATCACAATTGATATTTTCATGACGAACACAGACCTTTGATTTTCAAATAAGTGCCTTTTATGGGTAGGTTAAAGGATGGAAAAGCAGGATAATCAGAATAAAAGTCTCCTTTTAAAGTGTCATACTCACCATGATGTGTAGAAAATTGACATGATGAGAGAAAGTTTATCAAAACTGCACAATGCAGTGGGATTATTGTCTGAAACAAATTTGTAGAGAACAATCTTGGTTGAAAAGTGGACAAGAGTCCCAAACTACTCAACTTTTGCAACAGCAGTTACTTACGAAGACATTTATTGCTGGTATATGTCCCTGAACAAAAGAAGCAAGGAACCATGAATGTTTTAGGGGATATTTTTTGGACTGATACACAATTTCATAAAAATATCAAAACAGAATGCTCCCTAAATTGTTTTCTTCTGTATACATGTGATGATTAAGTTGAAATGGATGTAATATCATTTTAATGCATATGACCAAAAATCAATATGTAACGAGTGACAGCAGGTACTTGCATGCATCAAGAGGGAAAGCAACTTATTTCCCAGAACTTGAATCATGATGGCACATGTTGACACTGGTAAGTAGTTATTATTTTACTCTCTGGGGATACTTGTAACACAGAGCTATTTTCTTCATGTGAGTCAGAGACTGTTCATATCTTTCCTTAAAAATGTCTTTGTATAAACAATTCCAGTATTTCAGCTGTTTAGCCAGGTCACACAACTCAAACTCTTAAGAGAGAAAATAATTAAGCCCCTTTAGAGGAATTACCGTAAGGATGAATAACTTTTTGGCTAAGTCATCCGATTCTGAGATTTTGTAACCAACTTTTTCAGGTTTTAATTAGCACATGTTTTTTCCCATTGATGTTTTGTATGTACAACTTGCAGTGTGTGTAGTCAGGCTTGTGGAGCTCGCTTGTGGGTCTTCTAACCACGACCCATATGAAATTGCTCATCAACTTGTATAATACAAGCTCCACATAATGCCCCCACGCTGATTGAGTCTGAGATAGACGCAAAGTTTCAATGTCGTCTCTCAAGCTGCTTGATTAAACAAAGGTTTTGATTCACTGATACATCCACTCCGAGAGGTATTAGCGTAGAAGTTCGCTGGCTTATGTTTCTGCGCTACTACCTAGGTAATGATGCTCTTGTACACAATGCCTTAGGCTTAAAGGTGAAGGTCATGTTGGTTTCTGCCGTCAGTGTGTCGTACATCAATCGCTACATGTGTCGCTAATCTCCGCATTGACAACATGACATTTACTTTGATTGGTCTCAAACAGCAAATATTTGTTTTGATCTTAGTGAAAAAAAGAACATCTATTCCTGATGACTAATTCCATTGCCTGCTGTCATCAGTACTAAAGAATCATGGTTTTCTTTAGTCATGATGCTATCCCCACAAACAGTCACCAGCAAATTTCATTTACTTTAATCTTCAGGATTCTCAAACTACAGACGAGAAAGGATATTCTCATACATTTTCCCTCGCCAGTAATGAGCAGGAATAATCAACATTAGTGGCACACTGAGTGGTATATCTGCTAACTTGCTTGATGCAAATTGTGGTACTTTGTGACGAGATAAGACAGCTTGATTCCTTTTCATTTGAAATGTCAGAGACTGGCAGCTTTAAGAGAAGAAATCTGAATCTAAAAACCATGAGTGCATTAGAAGTAATGAGTTTGCGGATCTAATATCCCTCCACAGTCACGATTCAGTGTTGATGAAGACGATGAAGCAACCTTGAGGGTATTCTGGGCAGCACCATCAATGTACTGTATACCCATAGTTATTATGAAGCTTGCAGCCTTTTGTGTTGTGGTTTAACAGAAAAAATTAAATGCTGCCATGGAACATGACCAGACGTTTTTAAGCCCTGGTATATGAATCCCCAGACTCAAAATACTTGAATTGAAAAACTAATAATTAAGGGCTGAGGTTTTGGTTTTCTATTTCTCCAACCAGAAATAAACCAACTGTATATTTAAAACACATTTAGCATGTTAATTATCACTATGTATATAATTATGTTATATATAATATTATAATTAATGTAATCTGCAGAAACTGTATCTTACAACTCCAAACCACAACGAATAATGACAAATTGTATTCTACATGTACCACTCACCTTTTGTCCACTTACTTGACATATTTAGAGAAAGTATAAAGAAAATAAGGAGTGAACCTTTAATCTCGCCTTCTGACAGGAATATCTGATGTGTCTGAGTGTACACAATAATAATAATGGTTATTTATAAAATGCTTGTATCCACACACATGTGCATGCTCAAGGCACTAAGACATTATTACCCTGTTAACCAGAGCTGCCTGTGAGGTTAACAGTCATGTAATTACCCACCGGGTACCCATTCACTGCTGGGTGAACAGAGGCAATTTTGAACAAACTCACTTGCCTAAGGTGAGACCACATGTGTCACATGTGCTTTTTTGTGGGGCAGGATTGAAGTCATAGAAATTCTTGATTCCCCACATGGGTACAACGTCTGAAGCCCATTTCTGGTGTTCCCCGCCATGATTTTGCTGGAATATTGCTAAAACTAAACTCACTCACTCACTCAGGAGTGAAGCTGCCAAAGATGGTCACGCATCAAGGACTCTCTGTAACCAGTGTTGCTTAGCTTCACCTGATTTGTGATGTGGCTCTGTGTTCAAGATGTACCATATGCTGTCTTATCCTGAACAAAACAGTTTAAATTACACAGGAGTCCTCAACTATCAGTTGTTACATGAACATGTTAACGAGAGATTGTTGTTTTAATGAATTATTGTGGACATTTGAAGGTCCTTATGACCTGTTTTTGGAAGTTTGTGATTCCATCATGGACATGTTTAGAACCTCTTGGACCTGCAGTGACAACTAGTTACACCGTAAGTGTGGATGCCATATTAAACCTGCACAGAAGTACACATGTATATTTCAATCATTGTAGTTCACTCATAACTTCATAGTACAAACAAATGGCCAATAAACAGTGATTTTTACATGAGTAAGTGTGTCATACAACTTATACGAAATGTGTGCAAAAATTTATAATTTTGCACAAGTTTCGTATAAGTCATATGACACACTTCTTCGAGTGTAATAATTTCTTTATCATCCATTTTATTCATGTATTCATGTACATTTTTGCTGTAAAACATGGTAAGCAAGTATGATAGCCCTACTCATTGATGTCACTTTCAAGTGTTTAATGACGTCACAGACGACAAAAGACAGAAACAATGGTTGCTAGGCAAAAGTGATATGTGCACATGTGATAAATATGAGACTGGTCATGTTTCACCATATGGGTAAAACATAAAATTATACTAAGTCAGTGGGGGATATAGAAATGGGTGATGTCTGTCCATCACATTTCGTTTTAGCTGCAGATCATTTTGAAAACTGTACGATATTTCTGCACCAATCGTGGCACATGATTAGGTCTTGTGGTGAACTCGGACATTTTTATACTTTGGTTGGTTTTTTCTAAATTATTTTTCAGGTTGCCATGGCAACACTTTTGACTTGGCAGGAAAATAGTCTCTGCTTGTTTCAAGTACAAGAAATCCATACAATTTTTGGGTGCCAAATTTGGTTATTATATAGGTCCAGTGGTGAACCAGTCCCTTTTGATATTTTATCCCCAACCCCATCGAAGTTAGCAGAGAATAATGGAAACCGGTTTGTCAATTCATCTGTTTTGTTTTCAAAACCATAATAGATGTCCTAGCCAAACTTGGTTCAGACATTTGACAAATAGTGTACCGGTAGATGTGCTTTTGTTCTACAATGGACAGGGGATACAAATGACCTTGTCCCTTGTTACACACTGTAACTACACCAGCATAGGTAGGATGTTGTTGCCTTGAGCACTGAAAGTCTAATCGCCCTGAGGAAGGCACTAACCTATACCTAGCCTGTCTACAAAATATAGGGAACTGTTGATTCCAGTTTACAATTGCACTGTAATCGTTCTGCTGATATCAGACATGTTTGTTTGTGTAGGGCAAGTGGAGTGACATGGTGGGGAGACGCGCGAGTCTCATTGTGACACTGGGCCTTACAGGATGTGGCTATGGAATTATGGGACTTTCGACCTCCATCTTTATCATGCTCCTAGCCAGGATACCAGGAGGTAGGTCAGCATCAGGTCTCTGATGAAATTACATATCGTTGATATGTTGATTCTAGAACAACCAAGGTGCAATGCCATACTACAGAATAAGAGATGAATCTCCCTCCCTCGAAACATCACTCAGTGACAGCCAGGAACAAGTCCATATGAACATTAGTGACAGAGTTTGATAATTTCAGTTTTCCTCTGTAAGCAAGGTAGATGATGTCAGTGTTCAGAACTATAAACTTTAAACAGAATATTAGTTATACTGTGACATGTAAATACTTATCAGGATATACAATAAGCATCCATAAATAGAAAATATGATTCCTTGTCCAGATCTGATGTTTCACCTTTAAGGTACATCTGCTAATGTGTCTCACCCAAGGATTAGCTCTGCGTTGGGCACACGTGTAAGTGGATATGTTTGGTAATTGGCACTGCTCCCTGTGGGAGGATGCTGATTTGTGATTACTGAAACACATCTGCATTGTAATTCCTGATTCTTCAGTCAACTGTATGCATAATGCACCAAGACATGGTGAAAATTCTAATTCTAATTCTATCTGCTCGTTCTGTTAAACAAATTCTGAATCTTTACTTCATGTATTTTGGATTGCAAACAGGTTGAAGAGTTTGAGGGCCAATGTAGAATGTTTCAAAATGAAAAACAAAATACTCTGTTGGTATAGTTTGGTACAGCTCTGATGTTCTATTACATCAGATTATATTGGCATGAAAATAATTATACATGTATCAAGTGTCATTAGAATCAAACTATTATCTGAAAACTTAATGAAGACCTTGCTTCATTTCTTACCAGCTTTTTCTTTTGTCAAAAGATCTAAAGGGAAGCATCAAAGTGATATAGTTTTTGGTTATATTTTAGTTGTCAAATCGTATATGGTGGTTGAATATTGGGTATATGTCCACTTCCAAGGCGTATCGGTCAATGAGGAAGTCCATTGCTAAGACAAGGAAATACAATAGTTCCACTCCTGTACGGCAGGGCACAGATCAGGCAATGATTTATGCATCAGTGGGCAGGGAAGTCAAGGATATGAAAAGCATTGAGTTAGTTTCTATTTCTAATGAAAAAGAAATGACAGAATACTTAATAAAGCAAAGCAATAAGTGATTTCTCATCTATGCTATGTTGTTAACATGAGATTGGGCAAGTAATCAGGGGTGTATCTAGACCTCCTCAGAGGGGTTTTAACATGGGATTGGGCATATCATCAGGGGTGTATCTAGACCTGCTCAGAAGGGGTTTAACATGGGATTGGGCATGTCATCAGGGGTGTATCTAGACCTCCTCAGAGGGGGTTTAACATGGGATTGGGCATATCATCAGGGGTGTATCTAGACCTGCTCAGAAGGGGTTTAACATGGGATTGGGCATGTCATCAGGGGTGTATCTAGACCTCCTCAGAGGGGGTTTAACATGGGATTGGGCATATCATCAGGGGTGTATCTAGACCTGCTCAGAAGGGGTTTAACATGGGATTGGGCATGTCATCAGGGGTGTATCTAGACCTGCCTCAGAGGGGTGTTTAACATGGGATTGGGCATATCATCAGGGTGTGTTTCATAGACCTGCCTCAGAAGGGGTTTAACATGGGATTGGGCATGTCATCAGGGGTGTATCTAGACCTCTCAGAGGGGGTTTAACATGGGATTGGGCATGGGGTGTATCTAGACCTCCTCAGGGGTGTGGGTGTATCTAGACCTGCTCAGAGGGGGTTTAACATGGGATTGGGCATGTCATCAGGGGTGTATCTAGACCTGCTCAGAGGGGGGGTTAACATGGGATTGGGCATGTCATCAGGGGGTGTATCTAGACCTGCTCATTTTAACATGGGATTGGGCATGCATGTCATCTGTATCCCTGCTCAGAGGGTTTTAACATGGGATTGGGCATGTCATCAGGGGTCATCAGAGGGTGTAACATGGGATTGGGCATAGATCAGGGGTGTATCTAGACCTGCTCAGAGGGGGTTTAACATGGGATTGGGCATGTCATCAGGGGTGTATCTGTAGACCTGCCTCAGAGGGGTTTAACATGGGATTGGGCATGTCATCAGGGTGTGTCTAGACCTCCCTCAGAGGGGGTTTAACATGGGATTGGGCATGGGGGTGTATCTAGACCTCCTCAGAGGGGGTTTAACATGGGATTGGGCATGTCATCAGGGGTGTATCTAGACCTGCCTCAGAGGGGGGGTTTAACATGGGACTTGGGCATGTCATCAGGGGTGTATCTAGACCTGCTCAGAAGGGGTTTAACATGGGATTGGGCATGTCATCAGGGGTGTATCTAGACCTCCTCAGAAGGGGTTTAACATGGGATTGGGCATGTCATCAGGGGTGTATCTAGACCTGCTCATCAGATCTAGGACCCTGGGTTTAACATGGGATTGGGCATGTCATCAGGGGTGTATCTAGACCTGCTCAGAGGGGTTTAACATGGGATTGGGCATTTCTAACCTGCCTCAGAAGGGGTTTAACATGGGATTGGGCATGTCATCAGGGGTGTATCTAGACCTGCTCAGAAGGGGTTTAACATGGGATTGGGCATGTCATCAGGGGTGTATCTAGACCTGCTCAGAAGGGGTTTAACATGGGATTGGGCATGTCATCAGGGGTGTATCTAGACCTGCTCAGAGGGGTTTAACATGGGATTGGGCATGTCATCAGGGGTGTATCTAGACCTGCTCAGAGGGGTTTTAACATGGGATTAGGCATGTCATCAGGGGTGTATCTAGACCTGCTCAGAAGGGGGTTTAACATGGGATTGGGCATGTCATCAGGGGTGTATCTAGACCTCCTCAGAGGGGTTTTAACATGGGATTGGGCATGTCATCAGGGGTGTATCTAGACCTGCTCTGAGGATAGTATTCAGCCCCATATCTGCTGAAAATGTCATTATAATTTTCCTCTTCAACAGCATTTATATGCATTGGTAAGAAAACTGAAAAACGGAGAAGATTACTAGTTAAATAATCACAAATTTAAACCAAGATTTAATTCCAATTGGCATGCCAGTGTGTGGTCTCGTATATTTCGATACAAATCCCTGTCACACTTGTTGAATATTGGACTGAGTGAACTGACAGTTTGTAGATGTGTGATATGTCTACCACATTGTGAGGATCCCAGATAAAGCCAGCACTTGTAGTTGCCATGGTTATGGTTGAACAAAATGGCTCCATCTGCCATTGGAAGATAAGGGGAAACCTGTGATGGCTAATTATCTGAACAGAGGGTCTGTAGTCCATCCAATCAATTAGCTGCATTGAAATGTAATGTGATACAAAATTTGATTAATAATGTTTAATTAATTTATCATTTTAGATGCATAAGAATTGTCATGTATATAATTACATGTTGAGATAATGACTGTTGATTATTAAGAAGCCTAATTATTTTGTCTACATGGCAAGAGAATATGAGACAAAAAATACATATTTGATTTTAGAAATCAGAGAAACACATTTTGAAGTGATAAGTATTACTTGCACATGAAACACATATATTTAGATGCAATTCTTGGGTAGCTAAGGTATCAATTCTTCAAATTTGTTAAACAATTAGCATTACACTCCAACCAAACTTCATAAAACTTGGCAATGTAGATCTATTCTGTTTGTAGGATACTTAAGTTTTAGCACCAAAAGTTGTTTAAAGTCTTAATAAACTGTGCTGGTTAACAGGAAGCTTCTTTCAACATAATCATCACCCATTCTTGTACAACATCCTTCATAGACGTTAGTTCTTTCTCAGTCATCAAATACTGACTACCTCCTCATAAACTGCTAATCATTTCATTTCTACATTCATCACAATTATGTAAGGATGTATGTATTAGTTAATAATAGAAAGTAGACAACTCTTTTACATATCTGATCTGGCATCCAGAGTAATGCCTGACCAGAGTGTGACAAAGGCATATCTTCCAATAGGCTTTGTGTAACAAAGGCATTTATTACTCGCGCAGTGTAGGATACTGCAGTGTAATATTTTTACGGCAATATTACCCTAGTGTATATCGCTAGACGTATGACGTCATAATGGCTTACAGCTATGATGTCACAATGCTAATACCTCTGTCGCTTGACTCGCGAAAAGCTGAGAGTTATCACACTGTAGGCAGTTTCGCCGCAGTTTCTATCAATTTATATCGGAGAGTAATAAACAGAATACTAAACTCGTTTCAGTGAAATACCATCTTTATTAAACTCGTGAAAGATTTAGTATTCAACTTGCTTTCGCTCGTTCGATACCAAATCATTAACTCGTTTAATAAAAATGGTATTACACGGAAGGCTGTTTAGTATCCTCTATATCTTCCAATAAGCTTGGTGTGACAGAGACATATCTTCCAAAATGTTTTGTGTGACTAAGACATATCTTCCAATAGGCTTTGTGTGACACGGCATATCTTCCAATAGGTTTTCTGTGTTTTGTTTTCTGTGTTTTGATTATATTCACATTCAACATTATCTTTACTGTTTACTCTTCTCAAGAATTAGAGGACACTGCAATTTGTGAAACATTGGTTCACTCATCCAAGGCATGCTGCTTCTCTGGATGGAGATTTGGCGTCTGGGTAGACTATACATTGAGTACACATTCAGGGAGTGTTTGTGTTGGGCAGTAACAGAATGTCATACAATCAGTCTGCAGTGAGGGGGATAGTTTAGCTGGTGGAATGGTCAGTGTGTTTGCTCAGGAAATGGAACATGTCTGTTTGACTCCCATTTTGGTACTGTGTGTGAAGCATATTTCAGTGTGTTGTGAAGGAATGTTTGTGTTAAGCATTAACAGAATGTCACAGGATCTTTCAGCAAAGATTGATGGGTGATGTGGTGGTCAGTGTTTTTGCCCATCATATCAAATACCTGTGTTTGATTCTCACATGGGTATCATGTATATAAGGCCTAAAAAAAGAAAAGCTTGTGGTTCCGATTTCCCGACCGACCCTAAATATTCCCGCTGAGCCTAACAATTTTACTCACCACATAATAAATTAAATTTATTTTCTAGCACATGAGTAATGTAAAAATATTTTGCAAAAAACAAACAACCCTACTTACCTACCCTAGTTCTGAAATGTAGGAAATCGGAACCACAACATTTATTTTTGGGGGCCTAAGTCTAATGCCATCTGGTGGCATTTGGCTGGAATATTGGTAAAAGCAGCACTGATCTCCACACAATCAGGTTATGACTCCTGAGGGTTTACTTGACTGTGTATTTTACACATTTAAGTATGCATAGGACACCTTTACATTGGAGACAGGCTTTTTTGACCAGCATGTCTTACATTTTGTGCTCTTTGGTCTAGTGTGAATATACAATGCCATTTAGTCTAGTGGATGGAGGGTCTACCTTTTGAGCTGAAAGTCAGTGTTCAATCCCCTGGCTGTGTCATACCCAAAACACTTTACACTGTTCTACTTGTTACTCTGCCCCAGTCTAAGTAAACTTAGGATCAGTATTATTCGTTACACTACTATACTGAGTCTAACAAAACCTAGTAGAAGGTCACGTTAGCTGACCTTTGAGCGACCTATGATTGTCCAATCAAATGCGAGACGGACGAACGGATTTAACCAATCAGACAATGACTACTTGTTAGGGTTTGGCGGGACTTACAAAACGGGTTTTGGATTTTCTCTTCCCTGGTCACTGACACTGATCTATCAACAAACCAAAATCTGCATAAAACACAGATATTTGACATGCAGTATATTCGCTTATGGGTTTCTAATGACATGGTTACTATTTGATTATAATTTCACAAGGTGACATCCTTGAATATTGACAAAAAAGCTATTTTTAGCGACTGCTTCTGTATCACTCGGAAGCAGAAAATAGCCTTCGGAAACATTTGAGTTTTTGAGGTAAAGGTTTAAACGGTATGTGCGATGTTAACTTTCACAATTTGGTAAGCTGTGTTCTGATTGTTCAGTTCAAAAGGTTAGCTGACGCGACCTTCTACATGTACTAGGTTTTGTTAGACTCAGTATAGCAGTGTAACGAATAATACTGAGCCTAAATTTACTTAGACTGTTCTCTGCCCAAGACTTGTCACTAAAGAGAAAAGACAAGGACCCCCATTTACTGTGTTTTGAGTTCAATATCCATGTTAACTTTGGCATGATATCTCAGTGGGATAGCACTGTAAAACCAGGACTAGTCAAGGCTAGTAAAGCAGACACGCATACATGCACATTGCTGAGTCGGTCTCACAGTCTCTCAACCTTATTGTTTTCCTATGCAACCCTGTCTGACACGAAAATGCTGTAAACGAAACACGTCCAGATTTTCCTCAGGTTCAGGTCTGAATGTCCCAGTTCACTTGGGTTCCTTTTCAGTTTATACAGAGTTATTTATTTCTATACATTTTTAGGAAATGAACGTTAATCTAGCACATCATTCTAGAAGTGCAGTCATCTTTGATGTAATATAAACCCTGTGTCACCTCACCATAAATGTTTTGGTATTTACAGGGATTTTCAAGCACAGTCAAAACATCTCAAAGTCATATCTGGCCGACATAACATCAAGAGAGAAGCACTCGCATGTTTTTGGACAGTTTAATGCGGCCTCAAGCTTTGGATTCATTCTAGGACCAATGGTTGGCGGCCATATTGCAGAATGGCCTGGAGGCTTCGCTGTGGTTGGTGTGTTGGCCTGTCTGACCTTCTTCCTCAATGCTGGTGGGTTGAAACTGCTCTGTATTTATACACTCACCACAAATAGGCAGAAAAAACTCCTGGGGTAGTTAAGATGGGTTCATTAATGGGCAGATACTTCAGATGATGAAATCACTGTGGTATTTCGGTTGATTTTCCTACCTGTCTGTTCAAATGTCGGACATGATTATTTGGGGAAATCCTTCTTTTATCGCAGTAATTTCTGAGACCCTATATGGAATGTTAATTGCATATTTGAAGACACTAAAGAATCGTAATAACAAACAAAGGGACCATTCAGTTAAGTTCATTATACGCATATTTTGACAGAAACATATACTGTGTGTAGGGGACAAAAAAAGCAGTTTGAAATGTCTGTCAGTTTGTTATAAGCATGTTCATTATAAACATTGTTTATATATTCCATATATTCTATTCCAAACAAACAAAACAAGCTTGGATTGCATATTTGAAAATATTTGGAGCTTTCATTTGATTTTTTCATTTGATTTTTTAATATAAACAAAGAAAACCAAAGATTTCATCATATGATGACAACATAAATACAGCAATAATAGCTGTGATGTAAGAGGTCAGTTATTTGCACATATTATAACCATATAGAATGTGATTGAAAGTGTAACCAGTTTTCCCATGATTCAGTATTCAATAAGAATGGGAACTCGGAGAGTGTAAATGGTTTGTCATATTAACAAATATGGGGACTTTGGGATACAGTTGATCCCCAGCAACCGATACTCTGCGTAACGGAGACTACTGAATCAGATGGTCGGGCTCTGCCACTTAGTCACCTGATCATAAGCCCTAGGAGCATTTGTCATTAAAGTATTATTAAGTTGTTTTTATTTTAATTTTATGTCTCCCCTTGAAATACTAAAATTATAATTCATTATTTTAGTACTGAGAATGACAAAGGTGAAAGTGGAATAAATAAAGCTATAGCAAATGAAAATTGTCAAGAATTCATCTTTATTTACAATTCCTATTTTCCCAAGTAAACGTTAATTTTTTCAGACAAAACGTTATCACAAACAAAAGATTTTGCATCGGTAAATTTGCATCATTATGTTATTACTGTAATGTAATTTAATGAGAACTGATAGAATTGTTAATCATCTCTTTATAGTTTGCTGGATTTGATATTGATTATTATGTAGTAGTTGTCTGCATAATGGGAGTCTTAAACTAAATGGTGCTCCACCTCGTTGGGATTCTTGGGCAGAATACGTTCTCAGTAGAATACGACTGAAATGATGATCAGCTGTTCCAAAACACTGCACCCCAAATACAGCATTGTCTTCCCTTGCAGCAACCATGTGGCTCTTCCTGCCTGCAGTCACACCATCAGAACATCCTGAAACATCGCCAGACAAATCTCCGAAGTCCTTGAAATCAACAAGTGGAGGGTACTCCTTCAACATTAAAGAGATGGTTCGATCCTTCCGAGCCATCAACTGGGACAATCTGTGGGACCTGTTTCTCATTAAGTTTCTGGGTGGATTTTCAGTCATCCTGTTCCGCTCGAGCTTCAGTCTCATGTCGCAGAGCGAGTTCGAAGCATCACCTCGGATCATTGGCTATTTGACCTCCTACAGTGGGGCTGTGTCTACTCTGTGTGGACTTTTTGTAGGAAGATTAGCAAAATATTATGATAATGATGGTAAATTATATTTTCACATGGTAGTTCTAGAAGTTGTGACATTATTCAGCCTGACAGTCTCGCCCAATTTAGTATGGATTGCAGTGTTATTGTGTCCACTTAGTATCGTCACTTCTGTCATGAGAGTTATGGCAACTGCACTGACGATTCATAAAGGGCGGGACCAGGACCGGGGGGGGCCCTGATGGGGTTCAGTCAGAGCATCATGTCCATCGCACGCATGTTGGCGCCTTTTGTTGGTGGTGTTGCCATGGAGTTTAGCCCAAGAGGACCACTTCTCATTGGGACATGCGCTGCAGCTTTATCACTGATATTGCTCATTCTCAGACCTCAGGGAGATGAGACACAAAAAGTGAAACAATCCTAACATTGCTTCTGTTTCAAACAAAATTCAGGGACCAGTATTCATGTTTAGGACAACATGATTTGTTGTCTTCTACACGTCAGGCTCAAAACAGCATTTTACTGTCATATGTCTCTTTGTGGTAGTTTTGACATTATGTAATGTTGAAACCAAGTAGCCTGACTTGATGGAGAACTTGTTTATTGCATAGAGCACCATTTCGATGTAGACTCTTACACCATTATCCAGCTGAAACTGTTGAACCAAGCACTGGCAGCAATTAACTTTTAGTACGTGAGCAGGGTTTTATGAAGCTTTTGTCAATACTCCAGTTATCTCAATAGGGAGGGGCGGTGGGGTAGCCTAGTGGGTAAAGCGTTCTCTCGTCACGCCGAAGGCCCGGGTTCGATTCCCCGGGTTCGATTCCCCACATGGGTAAAATGTTTGAAGCCCATTTCTGGTGTCCCCCGCCGTGATATTGCTGGAATATTGCTAAAAGCGGCGTAAAATCAAACTCACTCACTCACTCAATAGGGACATGTCACGATGTGCAGCAACATTAATGGCTTGGCTAACTTCATGACCTCCCAGCATCCTCTAGGCCATTCTGTTAAACAACATGACACCTCCTACAAGAAAGCAAGTTGAGTTTCTGTAGTTGTGATTTATATGTTAGCCCCAAATGCCAAATATTGTTGAAACTGACAAGCCAAAGATTATTATAAAGGAAGGTTGGAGAATTTTCAAGAACATTGCACTTTGCACTATAAGGACTGTGACGGGTGTATGTGTGGGAGTGCATGCCTGGCCTGCATGCAAGCGTGGGCATGCATGCATTGCATGATTCATCTGACTACTGTTGGTTTAATAGTTCTAGCTAGATATTAAAGTTTAACATGAATACCCAAATTAAACTCAGCATTCTGACTCCAGGCTAACCAGGGGTGGAAATAACCCATTGCCCGACGCCTGAGTCCAGTGTTTTTTTCTGTCGGGCAAGCAAATTTGTATATCACACTGTACCGGTGTCCAGTTGACTTTCCAATATTAATTATGTTGCTTATTTTAAAATTCAACAAGAAAACGTCCGGTATAGTGGAAAAATTATCAGGGCAAGTGACTTTACATGTGCCACTGTACCGGAGTACACTAGCAATTTTAAAGTTATTTCCACCCCTGCTAACCAATTCTTGCTTCATCCCTTAATGCCAAGCGCCAGGCAGGGCAACAACAAGTACCATCCTTCAACGTCCCTTCTTATGATACATTCTGGAGTCAAACCACTGACCTTCTACTGTCGGCAAACGCTTTATCCAGTAGACCAACGAGGCTGGTCCCAGGGGTGATTAACAGATGCACTGGAAGATGTTTAGAGTATGTTTCTCATACCCTGTCATTATTGTATGCAATGTTATATGGCTGCAATATTGGTGAAGTGATGTAAACTGTTAACTCACTCACTCACAATTGTATGCAGTAACCTACAGTTATGATGAACTCCAAGGGACCACAGTTGTTATTTTGTTGAATGCAGTTTACTGTGCATCAGGATTTATTCTCTGTTTAACTTAATGTAACCTCAATTATTCAGTTTTGTATATCTCCATTTCAATTTAGTAAATAACCAGGACCCGATTCCAACGGCACAAAGATCAGATCTTGTGATCATGCAAAAATTATGTGCAATATTAGATTGGAGTGATGGAGACAGTGATGTCCAAAAGAAAGGTATGGTGACAGCTAGGCCCACAATATTTATCAAAATAGAATGGAGTATACAGTAATACTTTATACAACTGAAGATTTATTTCCATGGTGTCCCAAGGTCAGGTATTTCAGCAAATGGTTGCAAGTTATACATTTTCACTTAGTAAGATGAAATTCATCCTCTAGATACAAGCTAGATACTATGTCAAAGTTTAACATTTAATTTTCTCCTTTAATGGTTGCTGGGTTTCAAGTCCATGTAGTCGTCTGGTATAAACATAAATGAATGGTCCTTATTTAGAAACAATTTAATGACTACTCCTCCAGCTTGGGAACAAATAGAGGCAGTAAACGCCATTGCATTATCATGTAAAACAAAGTCTACCTCTCAACATGTTGATGTGGATATTTGTAGTGTCAACCTTGGGACTGAATGTGACTGCAGCTGAAAGATGTTGTCATACTAATAGTATTCAGTATTGGCACTTCAGCAAGTGTGGTTATCTAAAGTTAATTAACACGTTGACTGCCTATGACGAGTATACTCGTATCAGTTCTGGCCGAATTTGCCACTACGAGTTATCTCGGAGCTACATCAGTGGTATATTAAAACAAGCTTCACATATTGGCAAAATAGGCACAAGAAACAAACGTCTCCTGGCGATCTTTGTTACCGCCAGGACACAATTGCTTCTTGTGCCTGTTTTGCCAACATGTGAAACTTGTTTTAAATTACCACTGATATAGCAACAAGATAACTCGTAGTGGCAAATTGGGCCAGACATTGATACTACGGGTATACTCAGGTGGCAGTCAACGTGTTAATCACAAGTCCACGATTTAATAGGCTGCTCTTTAGTTCTATAACATTGTCGTATCTGAGGAGTAGTAGTAGTGAGTTTAGTTTATGCTGCAGACAATCCAGTGAGCAACAGCATGAGCATCGATCTACGCAATTGGGATACGATGACATGTGTCAACCAAGTCAGCGAGTCTGACTGCCCAATACCTTATGCCCTCTTATGACAAGTATGGGCTACTGAAGATCAATTCTAACCCGGATCTTCACGGGTTATATCTGAGTATCCCTATCAAAGGTAAAGTTGTATATAAACAAATTCCAAATGGTTTTGTGGCATTTGAGTGGCCAATCAAATTGTTTCTGCATTGATTGGTTGATTGGTTTTCAAATTGATTGGTTGATAATAGATAGGCAGGTCATGTCTCACTTTTGCATGTAACTTCTCCAATGTCACTCTGTTGTCTACTGTTGATTTTGTGTCAGTGAGTAACTGGAGTGATGTTATGATTGATTATTTACAAGAATTGATTTAAAAATGTCTATTTATGGCATTATTTGCATAAGAACAGGGTTTTGCTGTTTTTGTAAATCGATATACTGTACAGAGTTATTTTTAAGTTTATACCACAATAAAGGCTCAAACACTTGGGCATTGCTTAAAGATGCGGGTTTGAGTCTACACACTTCGGTGAGACATGTAAATATGTGTATTTATAATGTCTAATATGCAGATCCTCAGTCATGTTCAAAGTGCTACATTAACAATCATTCTGTGACAATATTAAGGTGAGCTTTCATTCTTGTCGACATGGTGAGAATCATATTCACTATTTGTTCAATATCACATAACAAATTATGTATACAATTGTTTACAGGTGTATATGAGGTTATTTAAGAAGGCTCTGGAGTGGAGCAAAACATTAACATTGTTATCACATACCAATTGAAGGCATGTATTTTAAACAGAAGGTGCCACCAGATTCAATATACATGTATGTCATACTTTTCAATCTGTTAGAAAAATATAACAAAAATGCTGTTCATGTAACATTTATTTATTTTTAGTAAATGATAAAAATCTTGTAATCTTCTGGTATACAATGAGGAAAACAAGTCACCCTACAGTTGGTGTGGTATCGTCCAGGCTTATATCACGTTTACCCACAACAATGTAACACTTGCACCTGGGTCAGCATGAACTTCTGATGGAAAATAATAAGAACACTGGTGAATGAGTGAGTGAGTGGGGTTTCATGCTGCAATTAGCAACAAATCCGCAACATAACAATGAGTGGCACCAGAAATGGTCTTCACACATTATACCCATGTGAGGAAACGAAGGCTTGGGTTTGGAGTTAATGTTTTGTATTATTACCCAAAGAGTGAGAGTGAATCTGAACAGAATTCCAGTTATATCACGGCATGGCAGGCCGTGTTAGAGCCGGCATGGTGTTAGAGTAAAGTCAAAAGTGACGCAGGTGTTAGCCGTTTACCACTTTGATGATGACAGGACCAGGCCCCGATTTCTCGAAACAAACTTAAGTCTGAGTTTTGACTTAAGTTAGAGTTTGTACTCAAATTTGAGAAAACACATTTTCCACAATGAACTGAAATCGATATTAAACTCAAACATAGTAGACAATTTGAGTATGGTGTGTAGAATACTTAAGTTTTGGGGCTTATTTATTTTTAAAATGCAGCCGAGTTATAACTCCAGCTGTTTCAAATGGTCAAATTCAGTTTGAAATTTGAGCAAAAATTTAAGTTTGTTTCGAGAAATCGGGGCCAGGTATGCACCATTCACCACAGAAAATTTGTACTGAGTGCATGCAACACTCATATCATCAGGAATATTATCTGAAACATCTGTACTTTTGCCCTTTATTATAATATCACATTTTACATGAGAAAGAATTCTTTTCTTGAAATATCCTTCATGAAATGAAAAGAAATAACAAAGACAGAATGACCGTATAACGAAATTGATGCACACTGACCTATTTTTACATATCTCTGTACAATACCCAGCATGTCCAACACTACTCAAAAGAATTTAAACACCCGATGCATAATACTACACTTTATCTGTCATGGCGCGTAATACTGTCATGGCACGACAGATTAACTATCGTAAAATGAAACGTCAGGTGTTCTATAATTTGTCTTAGTTGTATACATACAGGGTTATACTGCTTGATAAATCTGGGATTTGTATCATAACACAGATATTCAAATTACTGATGATCTTGCTCACATCTTACTTACATTAGGCAAAGGTCCAGCTTGCTGACTTTCTTCACAAGTGATATTAGTGGACAAGATGCATATTAACATATAAATTATGCAAGTATGAAGGAAAACATTATTGATTATGACAATCTTTTTCTCATTGAATTAATACAGCTTGTTACAGAAATAAATAAGCTTCACAATTTTCACAAATAACTTAAACAGAAATGTACAATGTCACAATTGTATCACAAACCTGTTTTTTCCTCTTGAATATGCAGACATAGCTTACGATCTGCTTTTTACACAGGACACATATATGTAAACTTTGAACAAACATTTAAAGTGTTTCTTGTCTTGGTAATAATGCTCAGTTTGATCTGATCATTTGTGTATGATGATAAATTCAACAAAGTGATAACATCATCAACAATTATGATAGAGGGCACAAGCAATGTTTTATCAAAATCAAACAATTACGTGAGATCTTGGAAGCACGGACTTGAAAAATATATCGGCAAAACAGCCAGTTGCATAACTTTGCTATTTGCCACCAACTGATAAACACTACTGAAATATGTATGATTATGGCATAGGTAGTGATTATGTCATGTGGCACATAATCTTAAGTATGGAATATACCATATTTCCTCTAATAAGCACCTCTCTTAAACTGCTGCTTTAACCCCGGCACTTATTAGAGGAAATACAGTACTCTAGCCTGATAGGTCCAATCAGAGGTTAAAAATCACAATTGTAACCTCTGATTGAAACAACCGATTTGATGACTGTATCACCATAACATACATAGCACGTCAACAGGGACTCAGAAAAAGTCCAAATACTTCTTTGTAATAATTCCAATTAAGTGACAATAAGTTATCACTGAGTTTGCTACTAGCTGGGTTACAGTATTATTTGCAATTTTATTACTGTAACAATGTAATGATCATGATACACAATACAATAACAGTATTAATAATAATATTTAAGTGTCTGGGACCCCCATTTTGTTGTCCAGGACCCCTGAAAATTAAGACCCTCAAATACAGGACTCCCTGTAAATCCCTGCATAATATACCACTCAACTTTTGACTGGGAAAAACAGTGATGTCCATTTTACTTAAACATACACTTGGCATGTTGTGATTATCATTACTGTTTATCATGGAAAGATAAAATATATCCAAGTAAAAGTGGAGTGGTATATTTACATGCCACTTCCAGGGTTTCACATTGTAACATCATGATAAGTATGTGTGTTTAGAGGTAAACCTTCAAATCAATAACTGAATGCAAGAGTTTGCACACAATTTTCCTATGGATCAATGGATATAACCACGTTGCAAATCTAAATCTCCAAAGCTCACACTACAATTTGGTTCCACTTTCAAACCATCACAAGTAAGTCTACATGTTTCCTAGATCTTAAAAACTGTGTGTTTATTTATTGAACAGCGTTTGATATTTAGCCATTTAGTACATGTAACTTAACTGTACAGTTAGTCCACCTGATAAATCATAGACTTGTGTTATAGACTTGGTGCTGCCAGATCTTTAATGAGGAGTTAAGCTCACAAACAGGTGCTTCAACTTCATGCACTAAGGGACACAACTCCACATATTGAATTCTACCACCTTCAACCACATGCCATCTGATCCCACTTGTATTACAGAATACAATGTGTATGAGTTACTTACAGGTATCTTATTTAAAAATAACACCAGACAACTGGATCCATGTTTGTAACAATACAAAAGGGCTTACGGAATGTGAAAGGCCACTGTCTCCAAGGGAGAATAAATCTCGCATTATCAATTTGCCTTCAGTAATCATCTTAATTCACATCACTAAATCATTTGGTCATGATGGGGCCCTGTTACATTCCTTAGTGTTTAAATGCATTTGCCCGAACATTTCTTACTGAAACACCCGACTTGAACAAAAGTTCAGTGATGCAGTTCTACAGAAAGTCACCTCACAGTCCAACATGAAACAACAGCAGTTAGTCTGAGAGGTGTTTGGTTTGATGACATCTTCAACAGTATTTCAGTTAAAAGTTGGAGGAAGCAAAGAACAGTAAAAGATGTAGTTCTGTCTCCACATTTCTGCAGTTACAGCAAGATGATGCAAGATGACTTGTTCATAAAGTCATTGTCACAACTCTGCCCAATCGCCTCTGAACAAGAGAGATAACTCTGCAGTATAAAACATCATTGCTGGTGGATCTTGGCCAGGAAATCATCTACATTAAGCTTGGACAGGTTGGGTTGCTTCTTTTTTCTGCAAATATAAGTAGCAAGGCTGATTAATAATCTTAAGGAACATATATCTGTCAATGATTTCTAACATAATACTGAATGATTGAAATGTATATACTTATGCTATGATGAGTGTGTGCATTTTGTCTTACGCATCATCAAACAATATTCAAGCAGTATCACTTTGAACAAACATGGCTTGACGCATAGCACCTATTTGAGAACCAAACCTAGGTTTTTGATGTAACATTTCCTACAATGTTTGAACTAACAAGTTACATAACATTCATTATTATTGCATCGCAGCATAAAATCCTGACATAAATTAATTTATTCAATCATTCATGTTATGTTTCTTATTTCCTGGAGTATACAAGAAAGATGAAGACTGAGATCAGAAAGATCAGAAGAGACTTACCTTTCGAGCACTACCTGAGAGGTTCTGAAATATACATAAAAATTCATCAGCTGTTCATCACAACCAGGCACATTGATTTGATTACAAAATTACTATTAACTACATGTTAACACGACATTAAACTACATTTCAGCTTCAAACAGTGTCAGTTTGTCATCACTTGCATGAATCAATAAATACAGTGATAGCAATACCTATCAAGAGTCAAGAGTAATAGAATATACTTAGGTGATAAACAAGCACTCACATCGAGAGAGACATGGCTGCCTGACCGTTTCCTGCTGCCTTTCATTTTGCCAGGCAGCCTACATTCCGGAATGATTGACAACGTGCGTGCTACAACCTCTCTCCGCCTGGACGACATCTTGAGCATCCCACCTCTCAGTGGGCCCGGATCTGATGCTGCTGTCAGAATGGAGCTCGTACTGGATAGGTTACTGTCTTCAGACAAAAACGAAGCACAGGTGCCATTCATTCCCCCTAAGACCGACTGTTTATCTGAACACTTATATTTTCTTCCTCCAACTGTTGTTGTGATCGTTCCCTCGGTTGAGAAGCCTGGTGGCTGGCTGAGGGAGCTGATCTGCACACTTGGGCTGGAGGTTTGGGTGAGGGGTACAAACTTCTGGAATCTTGTCGGAGACTCTCCTCTGGATGCTTCCAACTGTTTATTCTCAAATACTTTGACAGGTAGGTTAACTCCAAGCAGAGAGGAGGTACCATTGTTACCCCCCTTCATTTGCCTGGGATAAATTCTTTGCTTTGGACCTTGGTGGTTGTTTTACTGCTGAACTACCAGAAACAGTTCCCTTTGTCAAAGACGTCTGCTCTTTATCTGGTTTAGCATTTGTCACCTTTTTCTTTGTTTTCAATTTGTGACGAGCCGGTTTATCCCCAGTCATTAAACTCATTATACATGATGATTTGCCAGTGGGGCATCCAACCTCAACATTCATTACTGAAACACCATTCACTTTGGGATATCGTCTGCGGTCGCCCATCTTTATTTTGGCTTTAATGGGTCGTTTACAAGACGACGACTTTGACATAGGCTTCTCTTTAGGTGGTTCTGGTTTTGCATTTGAAATACTATCTGTAGGGGCCCGTTTATCAAAACTGAGTGATCTCTTGTGACTCTCTTCAACTAGTCGGCCCAAAGGAATTGCTATATACTGATCATCTGCAATTGTCTCCGACGAGTTCAACACTGTTTCTGTTTTCTCCTGGTTTGGGCTGACAAAATAGCCATCACACGGTAAGCTTACAGTCTTTGTCTGTCTGGGACTTTTGCTTAAAATGTTTGGTTTGCATGAAGTCTTAAATTTGGGTGATACAGATTGTTTAACAATTTCTTGCAACTTTGAGAGCCTAGGAGATGTTGCAGGAAGTTTAGGTGACACCGTAACAACCGTGTTTTGGCTTCCCAGTTTCACGGGTGTCATCTTGGATCGGATTTGAGGAATACTTGACGGCACAACAGTCACAGGTTGGTATGAGCTTGTTTGAGAGTCACTTATGGGCCTGGGGTTCTTCAGAATTAACTGTTTGCCATTAGGAGACATTGTCAAGTCATATATCTGATCGTTGACCACAACAGTTGGCAGACTTACATTGGTGTCTGTGAGGACAACCGTCTGCACCTGATCTTCTGCTGGCTTGACAGGCAGGACAAAGTCTGACAGCGTGTTCTCTTCCAGAAGATCAAAACTCATCTGTGAGTTAGTGCAGAGTAGAGCACTCGATATGGCGGTTGGGAGGCTGCCTTGAGATTGAGGGCAGGGCCTGATGTCAACAGGGCCAGGGCCAACAGTCAGTGTTGGTGAAGGACTGTGTGGTCGTACAGTCAGGATGCTCCCTGGTAGGGCCGTCACTGTATGAAGACTGTCCTCCATAGTAGAGGGACTGTATGCAGACATGGACTGGGTTGGGACAGACAAGCTCTGGGACAGGGCTTCAGAGAACTCGGGCATGATAACTGAGGACATTGAGGGGGCTTCAGAGGACTCAGGCTGAACACTACCAGAGGACTTGGCGAGAAGAATAGAGGACTGGGGCTGAACACCAGATGATTGGTGGTTAACTGTAGAGGACTGGGGGACAAGGACTGAGGACACCAGGGGGCTTTCTGAGGACTGGGGCTGAGAGGTAGAGGACTTTGTGTGGACAACAGAGGATGGGGTCATGACTGGTTGTGTCACATAGATAGTCGAAGGACAAGGAGCAATACTGTTCAGGATATTATTGCTTGTGGTCATTGTCAGAACAGAGGTAGACAGGAGAGGATTAACAGTTACAGGACGAGGACAAAAGCTGGTGTTCGATATAACTGATGATGGCACTGCGTTAGGAGGACATGAGTTGATCACAGCAACTTTTGGAAGACCGTTTGTTGGCAAAAGTTGTTGACCTCTATTGGTCTCATCCATGGAATAAGTTTTAATAACACCATTCTCCTCAATGTTTATGTGTACACCATTTTCTGGAAAGGAAGTCACCTGTTGAATGGATGACACCACTGTTTGGGGCTGTATTTTCACACATGACACAGTTGGATCCAAGGACGGGGTCTGCGATATTGTACCATTTTGATGCAATGGTTGTGATGTCTGGAATGACGAATGAAGTACAGTTGTAGGAGCAGGAGAAGCAACACAGGGTTGAGAGGTTGGAGGACTGGTTATGGGATCAACACATGGAGCTGGTGTGCCAGGATGTATCCCCTGAGGTGACATAAGACTTGGGTCTGCCTGGTACTGAGGGGACTGAAATGGTGACTCAGTAGGCTGATAATGCTGTAAATCTTGTGATGGAACTACTTGTGTTCCTGGTGATTGTCTGATGCTGGGTGACTGAGGCGGGGAAGACGACATGCCCCGTCCTCGAGACTCCATACACGGTGATGAAGATTGTTGAGGAACATGGGATGGTGTCCGTGACCTGTGAGCCGACACTGACAGTGGTGGGGACATCAGGCCCGACTGTCCATGTGGCACTGGTGGTACGCAGGGAGAGGACACCTGGAGGTGTGTTGAGGGGGCTGGGGAGCACGGTTCTGGGGTCTGTGCTGGCGACAGTGGGTGCATCACAGGGGAGGAGAACACAGGTAATGCTGTATGGAGAAAGGGATAAATTCAGTTCCTAACATTATCAACAAACATGCATTTCACAAACACTGTGTCAAATACAGAGAGCGGATGCTTAGAAAAATGGATCATTTCTTGGCCACAGGAATGTTAGATTATAACTTGCTTATAATAAAAAAAATGTGTTTGTTTATAGTGATTATGACTGATAACAAAATCTAACGTGGACATTCAGGTAGCACAATTAAAATATAAACAAAATTTTGTGGCCGAGCTTATCTGATTATATATTTTAATCACTGTGATTTATTCAAATAATTGCCTGGAAATAAACTGACATACACCAAACTCAATGTGATTTACCTGACGTGACTGGTTTACATGGGATGGGTTTAATTCTGCGTTTCCTCTTGAAGGGCACCTGCCCCGGACTTCCTGTCCCTGAAGTCATGCTGCACACACTTGGGCACGGACTGGTCAAACTAGCACAGGGACTGGCACTAATGCTAGGACATGGACTAGGGGCTGGCCCTGGGGTACTGGGAATATCCTGAGAGTTGTGTGTGGGGGTGAGGAGGAGGATGGAACAGGTACCAATGAAGGATGTGACGTGGCAGGTTGGGACTCCGCTGCTGTGAAGCCGTCCTGACTCAGCTCAACCATGCAGCCATCAGAGTCTAAAACATCATGGTGCAAGCATATGTAAAAACCTTTCCTACCCTATTATATTTCAATATATAGCACGTAGATTGTTTACTAAAAGCCTGTTGAAGAACTACTGTAAATGTGGGCTGTGTTTTGATGTTAATTTTCATGTGTGCTCATTGCAAATTCACAAACAGTGAGAACCATTTGGATAAACTCTTGGTCAGCAACATAAATTAGGGCTGGGCATCAGCACCACAACACTATTGTAAGCTAATGAGTGACTCACCTCCTATGTGTTCTGACATAGTGGAAGTCTGGCCAAGGGCCCCAGCAGTTGTAGTTGGAACTTTGTTACCCTCAGTCTCTGTAATAAATAATGGCTGACACATGTCAAAGTGTGTACACAAGCTGGCCATGTTACATATATAATATCTGAAGCATGACATACATTCTTGCCATAGACTAAGGTAACAGTAACAAGGTTACTCACTTATTCATATGTCGAGCAAGAAATAGTCAACAGTGAGATTGGGTTCAGCGACCCGTGAAGATCCAGTATAGAATTGATCTTTAGTAACCCATGCTTGTCGTAAGAGGCGACTAACGGGATCAGGTGGTCAGGCTGACTCGGTTGACACCTGTCATTGGTTCCCAATTGTGCAGATCGATGCTCATGCTGTTGCTCACTGGATTGTCTGCTCCAGACTTGATTATTTACAGACCGCCACCATATAGCTGGAATATTGCTGAGTGCGGCGTAAAACTAAACTGAGTTGGGTTCAGCAATACTTTGAACAGTATTTGAGCTACATCACAATATGTCAGCTGATTGGGAAGGAAAGCCTGAAGTGATGCACTCTCAAGCAGGTCTCAAACCTTTTCATTTTACGGAAACCTACAAGCAAAGCATGGTGCTGTCATGGGAAGGGAAGCAACTCTACAGTGAATTATGGCCCCTTAGACAACTGAAACCTCCTCCAAAACATCAAGAAACATCTCAGTGCTCATAATACTATATAAATTATTACATACACTAAAGCATTTACGGTTAGTTAATTAGATACTGATATTCCTGAAACTACTAAATACTAAAACAAAGCTTCTATACAAAAGCTGATATCCTATAAGAGAAGAATGTTGCATACCAAATATATTGATCAGAGAATCAAAGAGTGGATCACTTTTTGCCATGTGGATGATACCATCTATAGTATCTTCGGACAGATGTTGGGGTACCTGGAACAGAAATGCCAGTTCATCAGTTAAATGTTGTTATATAGTGTGTAGTGAACAATCTACAATGAGCTGTATGACACTTAAATTACTGGAAGAATCCAAACACTCACAGGTGATCCAAAAAAGTCATCAACAATAATGCTGGTTGAAACAGGTTTACGACATGAAGCTTGAGGGGGTTCCGCAAATCTGCTTTTGTTGATGGTTTCAGCTAGACGCTCATGAAGCTTGGTGTCATTCATGATCTTTTCCAGCAACATCTGCAACAACAACAACAACATTAAACAGACTTATCTATACCTGAATTCATACTCAAACAACATCATGCACAATCATCAAGTGTTAGATACCATGATTATAATTCAGCAAGTCCACATTTCTGACTTGTGGTTTCAAGTATCTTGAGTATGTTCTTGGAGCAAAGAACCGGTGCTTCCTGATTTTCTCTAGTCTTAAACTGGCATACTTATCTAAATAGAGAATACTAAACAATGTCCAGTGTAATACCATATTTATGAAACGATTGAATTGTTTGGTATGTAACGCTACACCAAGTCAAGTGACACACCGTAATCACCAATTACACATTGTAAAAACCCAATATACTAACCACTATGAGTGAGTGAGTGAGTTTAGTTTTACGCCGCTTTCAGCAATGTTCCAGCAATATCACGGAAGGGGACACCATAAATGGGCTTCACACAATGTACCCATGTTGGGAATTGAACCTGGGACTTCGGCGTGACAAGCAAACACTTGACCACTAGGCCACCCCACCGCCCACTAACCACCATGTACACATAATAATCCCATAGTGCATAGCATAATCACCCAATAAACATCAAAACTTCCCAATTCACACAGTAATCACCCAACATGCATAATAAGCCCTAATGGACATAGCAGCACATAGTAAACCCCCAGCCCTATAGCAGCACATAGTAAACACCCAGCCCTATAGCAGCACATTGTAAACACCCAGCCCTATAGCAGCACATTGTAAACACCCAGCCCTATAGCACCACAATAAACCCAATACACAATAAACATACATACAGTCATCACACAATAAAGATAGTAACCACATAATACCCATGGTCAGCTCCTTATTTTCACTAGGATTTGGCTCCTAAGCTCAAGAATACATGGACCCAGAATAGGGAAAAGATGCTAAATCCACAATTCAAGTTTCAGTTATGTGAGTTCAGCTGTCAAAAACTTTGTTCCTGGGAAGATATGACGAGTACATACAGGAAAAGGATCAGCTTGGAGATTGGGCTGCTCCTTGCTGCTTTCACTCCCAGAACTGTCCCTCTGCTCTGACGGGGCACCTGCTCCATCCTTATCTGAGGGTCGGAGTGACTGGTTGTCATTTCGTCTCTTTGGCTGGTGCCTAAACACATCAGTACAGTAATAATACATTCTGAGCTATCTGGGAGAAGGGAGAGGGAAGAAGTGAGTGAGTAAATTATTCATTATGGGTAGTTGAAGAAGTGAGTGGGGTGAGTGAACTGTTTGTTATGGAAATATTCAGACATTTCTGGACTATTTGGTAAACCATTTGTCAAGGGGAAGATTCACCAGTGAGTTTCAGTCACATATATGACCAATATCATTAAAAGGACAGACTACCAATTCAGTACACAATGACCTACTTTCGCCTCCTCGGAGATCGTCCGATCACATCACAGGTCTCCGAACATATGGAAAGTGTCTTTAGAGGAGTTGTCTGACACTGGCTAACCACCGTCATTTTAACAGGGCTTTCCTCGGCTGAAAGAACACAATCAGAATCAGCTCAACAATGATGGACTATCACAGATACACTAAAAGAAATCTACCATGCAAATTATATTCCTAGTACCATGACTACAAAAGATACAGATATAGAGTTGTTTCCCTTGGACATGGCAGGATCTGCTGATGAGTTTAATCTCAAGGGAGATCTGTTAATGATCCTTGTTCTGCATCATACCCATGTTCAAGGGTTTCAAGAAAATGGTGTACAGTTTAGATGATATAACAGAAATATTCATTCTCAAGTTTATGCAACTCAAGCTTTCGTCTTCTTTGCAAATGTAGATTTATCTGGGATACATCAGTTAGATATAACAGTATCTCTAATTAACCAATGGTTGAATCTCATTGGTTTATGCTACTAACCAATCAAATTTAAGTTTCAACTTACAAACAAATGCATAAATAATACCCAGCATTTGTAATATATTTCTTGAAACCATCTTCATAACAGATACTGGCCTACTATCTGACCAAACCCTAACATACTTAAATATGCATTCATAAAATAAACCATACATATTTATAAAGGCCAAAGAATAGCAGTATTTTACCCATATTATGTGAAAATGAAACTTCATGTTGGTCTGTCTGCTGCACCTGTCCGAGGTCTGGCAGCTGATCCACTTCTAGTTCCACAACATCCTCTTCATCATCAACCTTTTCTGGCATGCCTTCATTAAGCACAGCTAAGTTACTGTGCAAGTTAGTGCTTTTATTCAATAATGCATCACTTCTACTTGAACTGTTCTGAAACATTCCTATGTCAAGTACATCTTTGGGATCTGCAGTGGGCTGTTGCATTACTCCTGATGTTTGTGAATTTATTAATATTCCACTCCTTGACATGTCCATATTCCCTGACACATCCATATTCCCTGACACATCCACATTCCCTGACACATCCATACTCCTTGTCACATCCATACTCCCTGACACACCCACATTTCCTGACACACCCACATTCCCACACCCACATTCCCTGACACACCCATATTCCCTGACACACCCATATTCCCTGACACATCCACTACATTGACTACAGCATCTGAGTCACTGTCCGACCCCCCTTGAGTATTTATCACAGACTCTAATGTAGCACTACTTTTTGTAGTCCGTCGCCTTCGCGACACTCTCTTCTGCACAGGTGTTCTACGTTTGCCTGTCCTTTTCTTTGTCGCTGGTTTCTCTGTGTTTGGTTTTGTTACCGTGGGGGCATTGTCTCCACCTGGTGTCATCTCAGAGAGGTAACTACCAACGTTGACACCAGAAGATGAGGGGTCCACATGTATTTTCCTCAAGCTGACAGAAACCGTGTTGAGGGGATATATGCTTTCGACATCTCCAGTATCTTTCCGACATGGAGCTTTATCAACTCGATGCTTCGTCCGCTGGCCTTGTTGATAGCTTGCAGTTTTCAATGCTTGTGTTTTTGTCTTCTTTTTAAGAAGTCGCGTCACTGCATCAAACTGTTTCCATGCTGCAGCCATATCGATGGCATACATTCCTGTTTCTTGTGCTGATGAACAAAGGGTAATCAGAAATAAAATGTTGCACAGCATCATAATAATCCTTATTCCATCACAATCAGTGCCAAAATATTTTGAGGCTATATATCCTAACTGCTCAACTTCAAACACGTTAATAGGTTATTTTTAATATGAGGGCAATTATGCTTAGGTTACTTGACCAAAGAAATATTACTTGACTTTGACCATTATCTGTTCTGGTAGGTATCAAAATAAAAAACCGATAGACTATTTGTTTCAAGCACCAGTCTACAACATAAGTAGTAGTCCAAAGCCTGAGGAAAGCAAAATTATATAGGGTTTATGTCTGCATGTAGACTAAAAACACCTGCATCACAATATAAATATTTATTCACTGTCACAACTAAATCCACTACTAGGGCTGGGACCTTACACTATGTCACGATACAATACATATCGCAATATTTTACCTGCGATACGATACGTATCACGATACATACACCTTGAAAGAATGACACGGTATCAAGATTTAAAATGATTTATTTCAAGGTATTTGTGTTGAATAATAACACTATTGTAATAAACAAACAAGAAACTCCATCATACTTGTGTATTTTCTCTGAATAAGTACTGTAACATGTTTAAGATAAAACAGTTGTGTTTCGTTTTGTATCGATACACCAGTCGACGATACAATAGCTGTATCAAACTTAAATGTATCGCGGCCCTAAATCGTCCCAGCCCTATCCACTACACATCTGAATTTCGAACTTCACTCATAAATGGGAACTAAAGTCAAAGTTCTTGGAGCTATTTTGCTTTTACTCTTTTAATTGTTTTCAGGTAACAAATCTACTACTGTCACAAAATATTTTATCAGACTCTTCTTTCTTACACTAATTTCAAAATCTGGGGTCCATTCCACAAAGCAATTGTAACACCCATACTTTGACACAGACTAATGAGAGTTATTAAAACTGCTGTAGAAGCTTTGTGGAATGGGAACCTTAACTGCAAAGAGAAAGAACACAGAAAACAGATGAACCAACCTTTCAGTTTAAGTTCTGCATACTCATCAAGCAGCTGATACAGTGAGATTCCCATAATGGCTGTGGGATACTCGATGCCTTCCTTCAACATGGCCGCATATTCAGCCAGGTACTTGCACTCTTTCAGGAAACACTTGTATGTGAGTGGGTGAGAACTCTCCTTCAGGTACCCTGTTGACAGAATCCACCCATGGTACCATGATGCCATGTATATCATGCAGTAGAAACGTTATAAAACTGCCGAAACTAATACTGGGTACATATTTTGAAACTGTTATTAGTTTATTGAATGTTACTAGTCATTTTACTGAAATAATCAAAGATTGATCAGGTCTTAACAGCACAAATAATTCTGCTAAATTTCTAAATCCTTGTTTAGTAAAAAGTCTGGGGTCAATTTATGAAACTTGATGTAACTTTCACCAGTTGACACCATGGTGTCATAATTGTTTTCAAATTTGAAACATACATCCAAAACCTCATTCTCTTCCCACAGAGGTTACTTGTCATATCTTCCTACAACCTCTGTTCTAATACGGGCATATTTCCCGGTTCTCGTAAAATCCCCTAGCGGCAAAAGATCGCAACACGAATTATCTCCCTTCTTTCTATCCAATCAGAACACATGTTACATCGACTTAGATTCAACTTGACTAACACAAGCAAATGTGGGGCCATAAATATCCCCCATCTGCCGGGGACTTGTGTTGATGTCACACACAAGACGTTTAATGGCTAGCTTGTCCGTTGTCAACAAGGGCGAAGGCAACGCCACTGATCCGCCATAACATGACTGAGTTCTGTCTAGAAGAAACGTTTGCGCATCGGCGCAGGGGAAGAAGTTTAGTTTTCTCGAAGCATCACGCGAAATGCGAGACCGGTATCTGCGAATTATCACTTTTGAAACAACGTCGCTGATTGCACAACTAAATCTGATTGCCTCCAATCACGAGTCTTGAACGCTCACACCATGAAAGGGCCGTATTACGATATGACAGGAGTAACCTCTGTGGGAAGAGAATGCCAAAACCTAGAGTATAAATACAATCTCTGATGACTGTCATGATTTTTACAGTTAATACTTGCTTTAATAGTACATCTGTGGCAATGTCATCAATGCCAACATTCACATAAAGCATAATGATTATCTGTCAAACAATCTAAACATCATGACATGGTGTTCAAGTTCAATTATCATGGTGATACTGACACTGATAGATCCAGCTGCAATACAGCACTGAATCACAGCTCTTAGTTGATGCTCATGAACATAGGAATGTTTTAAGAAAATTAAGAGTTGAGTGATTGAACCAATTAATTTGGATGATCAACTTACTGGTATGATTAAATGATCAATCATCAGCTGATCATGATTTTACATTCAATTACAAAGTTATGTGATGGGTTCAAATGACTTTCAGCTAGCATATCTTTGTTCCTTTCAACACAGACATTTGGACTCAAGTCCATTTGCATGATAAGCGTGGTCAATATAGCGTAAGGTGTTTACACATCTCCAAAGATGGTAAATACCTGTCATGAATAAATATACAAAAATAAATGTACAAAACTTCAAGCCATGGAAAATGCAAAAATAAAAACAACAACATCAGTTCACCACAAGACCCATCTATGAGCTATTTTGGTGAAGAAATATTTTATGGTTTTAGAGATCTACCCTGTCAGTCACCACACCTCCCATTTCAATCAAAGCCAAAGTTGTTGCCCATGGAAACCTGGGGATGGAGGGTGGGTGTTCCAAGAAAATGAAAGCAATTATCAAAACTACTTCCTTTGATGTGTGCACACATATAGGAGTGTGTGTGAAAGCGCCTGAAGGAGTAAAAAAAAAGAATTAACTCTGAGACGTTGGGTCTAACAAATATGGCAGCAGCTATACATAAGATTTTTGACTTAAACTTCAACATGTTGAAAATAATATTTCCTGAACTATCAAAATGCAGAAGGTTGCCACCAGACATATTCATGAGACAAATTTAGAGAAGAAATATTTTACAGTTTATTAAACAGTCACTATCTGCTCTGGTAACAACATCTTGCACTGACGGATGGGAGGACTGACATATTATACTCTATGCAAAACAACTGCAGGGAAAAGCTCTATGTGGATAAACAATTACAGTGAAGCCTCGTTAATGCGGACGGTTGCGTTTCTCAGTAAATTCGTCCGGATTGCGAATAGTCCGGACTACTGAATCAAGACCCAAGTTGCTTCCCTAACTATTACAAAAACGACATGAATCTGGATAAAACAAATAAGCATTTAATGTAAAGCTTAATATCATCACATCAATAATTTTACCGAGTGACATCCGCATGTTGATCCGACGTGTCTGATCACGTCCTTCCTCAGCACAGGTGAGGTAATGTCTAACAAGCGATCTATTGTAGTATGCCTTGAATGTCCGAATTATTCCTGCATCCATCGGTTGAATATGAGACGTGGTATTTGGTCACATTTCGCAAAGTTAGCGGGCTTACACTTGTGACTTGCAGCATTGTCGTAAAGCAAAATCACTTTTAGTCCATCGTGACCGCATCTGTCTGTCAAAGTACATTAACCAATCACAAAACAGCTCACTTGTCATCCACGCTTTGTATTGTGGTGTCAATCAAAGTGTAAATGTACAGTATCTTCAGTCGGGAGCTTTTAATGTCTAATTAAAACAACAACCCAGTTGGCCAGTTAATTAAGTAAACATCGCCGGGAGGTGTTGTTACGGTTCGTGAACACGACTTACAGCGTCCGGACTGTGAAGCAATTTACTGTTTATTTTACTGATTGGTGACAGCTACTTACCGTCCGGTTCCGGAAACCGAATTTCCGGATTATCGAGGCAAATTATATAGGCATAGATTGGCAACAAGCTATAATCGCCCGGGAGGCGAGACATCCGGATTATCGGAGTCCGGACTAACGGGGCTTCACTGTAATTGGATTCCCCAAAATAAAATTAGATAAACCTGTAGAGGTTTCCAATTCTTTGAAGAGAATCGTCCTTGGGGTACATATATGCATTTTCTGCAGCTGAAAATGTCATGTGACAGTTGTATCAATGTTTTAATAAAATATTGTACAATAAATAAAAAGCCTTTTTTATCTATTATACGGCCCCCTACCATGTGGAGTTACCTCCCTGCCACGCATGCGTGGCCAACCAGGTAAGCACTCAGGCCCGTATCATCATTCCTTCTGCTGAACAAATCAGTGAACAGAATTGCGGGGAGGTGGGCAGCCCCACCCCAAGGACGATTCTCTTCAAAGAATTGGAAACCTCTACAGTTTTATCTAATTCTTTTTCATAGAGATCGTCCTTGGGGTACATATATGCATTAACACAGACTCCCAAAGACCGGAGGCTAGGGAGGAGGGAATTCTGTCACAGTACAAATAAATAGCGATCACGTAAACGAAAAGTTACTTACACCATAACACTCACCTGTCACACTTCCGCGAGAGGCATTATGGGAGGTGACCCGACAGGGAGGAACGTACTGAAGACCCACCTCAACATGTTAAGCAATAAAACACATCACATAGTGTGTACTTAAAATCCCGCCCACTTAGTGATATCTCCAGAGAGCACCGTAAGGGGGAAACCACAACTCACAACCGAATAACTCATCAGAGAAATTGAAAGTTGTCGTAGAATTCAACAGCGGATATGTCAATTAACACAACAATTGATCTCAGCGTCAGAAAACCAAATAACCAAGACTCACTCGGTCAGGGTGGCAGGACACTGTCCACTGAAGAGAACAGATCGGCCAAAGCGCGCTCGATCACGGGAATGTGTATCAAGCTGATAGTGCCATATAAAAGTGCTAGGCCAGCTCCAAATAGTGGCGGAGCAAATCTTTTCAATGGGCAGTGCTGCTGCAAAAGCCTTTGAAGCGGCCACTGCCCTGACCGAGTGAGCCTTCAACCCCTCAGGGGGGAGGCTTGCCCTTAGCCTGATAAGCAGCACAAATGACCAACACAATCCAGCGAGAAAGTGTCTGTTTGCTGGCAGGAGTTCCAGCCTTCCCGCCACCGTAACAACAGAACAGCTGGGTACCTGTACGGATCATTTGTGTTCGTTTGATATAGACCTTGAGGGTCTTACGGACGTCCAACGGTTGAGGGCTCGTTGCGGAGGTCCCCGATGTGGAAGGCTGGGTAAGAGTAGGAAATTCGATAGGAGCTGTCACATGGAAAGCGTGATCCATCTTCGGACGGTAACTATCTGGGAGGCGAATACTGTAAAACTAGAAAATTTTGCGAGCAGGATATTTTTACGAACTTTGCGCTTGTCATGACCTCGCAAAAGTTTTAAGACGCAGAAATGGCAACGAATGTTTGTGTGTTTTTTCCAACTTTATTCCATATTATACCATAAATATAACATATTTAAAAAAAATGCAGCATACTTAAAACATATTGTCTCTAAGCACTATCCTTTATTAGAACATTATCAACACTGTCTTTTCAACGATTCACTCAGTCACTTGCCTGCAGACATTTTGTCAAGGAGCCCAGATGCTCGCTAGCCACACACAACAGTCTCTTTGTTTTACTTCACTTGGTCATAGCTGGACACTACCCATCGAGCATGGATCGGCTTCCTTACACTAATCCTTAAATCAACATGTTTGTCGGTCTTTTCCTTCAAGTTCTTTGTCACACTGTCAGCGTACCACTGCCGTGAACTGCACCGGTGCAGCCAGTTGGAACGAACTTGACCTGGAAGTTATGTTGTTTTAACAAGTTGAGGAATGAATCGCATCGGTGTGCAGCGAAAACATCAAATATGACAAGTGATTTCTGGCGTAGCAGCAGTTTGAGTTGTTATTTTTAGGGAGATGGGTGCCTCTCGTAAAAATAACACGTCGCAGAACCGGATGAGGTATCAAGGGCGCAAAAGTTTAAAGGCAGGAAAATTTCTCGTTTTACAGTACTGACGCAATCTGGAAGGAACACAGTCAGTTCCAGGTCTGCAGACATGGGATGTAAATCACCAACCCTTCTCCCAGATGTCACCGCCACCAGAAAAATGGCCTTCCATGTTAACAGCTGAATGGAAATAGCCGATAGACGTGTGAAAGTAGGACCGGACAGCCAATCTAGCACGACTGACAAATCCAAAGGTGGGCTGGTACGCCTGAGAGCA